CTGAGCGAGAAGATGAACCTGATTCCTGCTATATCTTTCTAATTTGTGAGTTAAATCAACTATTGTTCCGATTTGAAATGTCAAAAGTTTCCGATCGGCCAGTTGTGAATCGCAATTATGCGCCTCGACTCGGAAAAGACGCAGTTTCTGATCGGAAGAGGCAATCAAAATCAAGCTGCTGAACTGTTTGTGCGGTGCGACTCAAGCGATGGCTCACCTCATATCGTGCCCTAACACCTGCACACTTGAGGATTTAAGAGGCGGTCGGCGTGAGTTCTGGGCCACAATAGTGTATCTTACTGATTTAATATAGAAGACCCCAAATAATATTAAATTTTTGTTGAATTTTAGGATGCTTCCTACTCCACTTACTCCAATTACTGCACTAGTTTGTTATAATTAAGTATTATTTAACAAAGACGGAACACTTAGAAAAAAATCACATCGATACGTCATCTAGCGGACCGTGCCCGACGCTTTGCCAACTAAGCCACGGAACGAACCAACGGACCTCACGAATTCTTTTCATGTGCTTGTTGCGGATCTTTGTTTTTTGGTGTTAACGACTTTTTTGCCGTAGCGCCATCTATGAGAAATCTATGAAAGTTTTTCTTCATTCACCTTTTAAAGTAGTAGGAGTAGATGACCGTTTTGACGTTTGTCCGATCGTCAAGTTTCGTATTAATTCATATCTACGTTGAAGGAGCTAATTGTTGTCAATAGAGACGTACAGTCAAATTTATGGAATGTATAAAGTTACGACACGGCTCGGCATTTGTTTTTCGAAATTAGACATTTTTAAAAATGAAATCCAATACGGTCGCCACTTCTGGGATCGCTGGCCAGCACAATTTCTAACTCCGGCAAACTCGCGTCAAAGCTCAATGCAAAACAAAGTAGTTTCGAATTGATGATATATTAAGTAAACATTTTTATTTTCGTTTTATTAAAACTTTTTAATCTATAGATGTTATATGTGTATTTATCATATTTTTTTCGATAATTAGTTGAGATTTGACCTTACTATTGTAATCTGTCAAAACGGCCGCCACAGCGTGCCGATACTGTATAATAATATTATTTAAATTTTCTGAGTATTCTGTATTTCGAAGTTATATTGATTTGAAAATCTTATAAACACGCTTTTGGCATATTACCAAAACACCTGACGCACGTGCCTTGCTATATGGCGTGTCGAATATATGAGTAAATTCGATTAATGACAAACATGGCAGTGTAGATGTTGCGGTAACACCGTTACTGACACGCGACTTTGCTTCTTTATTGATGACAAATACCATTTACTTCGATGCTGAAACTAACTGACAGTGACAATGTCATTAGTAGTAGTCATTAAATTCTCCATCGTGACACGTGTCAGGACACAAAGTGCCACCTTAGTGACCGCCTCACACTAGCGTCTTTCGAGCGTCAGCGTTTTGTCAAAGCACGCACAGCGTCACAAAGGTCTTCAAGTCTCGTCATCCGTTTCCTAAACAAATTAATTTGTCAATGTGAATATTTTTTATTTTATAAATAAAAGTAAAACTTGTGTTTTATAAACAAACTTACTTATCTTAAAAACTTTAGTGGTCTACTCTTGCTTTTCTCCATCAACACAACGCTGTAAGCTATCGAGTACTTAGGTTTCCGCGATTGTTACACGTAGGAAACGAAACTATTTTTCCGGATTTAAATCGCGTATATTTGTTTTTTCAAACAAACCGACGTTTCGGGCCCTTTACAGGTCCCATGGTCACGGTTGACTGAGGTGGTACAGTCTTCGACCAGTTATGTCTAATATTGATGCAAACCACCCTATTTTTTCACTATAGTTACAATAGTTATTAATTAAATACCTTATTTTTAATTTTACAAAGAAAACATTCCAATTTACGCTACATTAAGTTTTACAAATTATTTTATTAAATGAATTTTTATTAAGTTCAATTTATTATTAATTAGTAATAGAAATTAGAATAAATTAAAACATATTAATTAGTACTGCAGTCTTATGTCTGTTTGAGATTTTTCATTAGAGGAAATACTGGAACCCAAACTAGTGGTACGGAGAAACCATCTTCCCTGTTAAAATTAGGATGTTTTTAATTTCAATGGCCTCTCGCAGCATCCTGGGTAGATAACGGACTTATTTATGACATGCTCGCAGACTGCAGACTTGTTTACGCGACGGTGTTTGACATCAGCTATATGTTCTTTAACGCGGGTACAAATACTTCGTTTTGTTTGTCCAATATAAGAGAGACCGCACTCACAGTCAAGCTTGTAAACGCCTAAAAACGCTGTAAGCTTTTTAAAAAAGATTACGCGCTTAACGCCCTACAGTCCTACCTGCGCGCACAAGACAGTTCTTTGCCTATGCCCAAAACGAGTAGCAGTTAAAAAATAAGCAGTTTTTCCCTATTCTCCTGAGAGACTGCAGAAAGGTGCCTAACGCAGGGTATACGACGCGCTCACGTTGCGTGGCCGTCGCGCGAACGTCGTGTCGACGCTGTCCGTGCGTTGGCAAGACGCTGACACTCGAAAGACGTTAGTAGTGTGGGGGGTCTCTTATCTATTTCTGCCGCCAAGCAGAAATGTGAACATTATTGCATTCAGGCAGAAATAGGTAAGGTGGGTACTATCCTAGACGAACTCTTTCTCAAGAAGCTCGACGCTATTAAAATTGTGTTTTTGGTTCGTAAGTAGGTAATTATTTTGTTTTGTTTCGTTCTTTTTTCTTTTGTGGTGTTTGTTGCGGTACATAAATAAATGTACTTTCTTTCTTTCTTCTTTCTAAAAAAAAACAATTACCTAAGGACAGAAAACGTCTGAATCAAATAATAGATGGTAACCTATTTTCTTAAATTCAAAGATATTCAAGTGTAGCAGCTACACGAAAATAAATCACCGAAGTTATTATTGTTCCACCGCCACCCACTTGAGATTATAAATGTTTTCATTTTAATATTGCAGATTTTACTTTGAATTGCTCACCTACGTGACAGGCTACGCATATAAATTATAACTGTGATATAAATAACAATGTATTACACAATAATCCACTACACAAGATGTGCCGCTACTACAATAATGTCTATACGGATAAAAAGTTCGCTTTGGCAGAATCCTTAGAATAATAACGCATAGAACATTGACTTACAAATAAATGGACGACGGGTCTAATACAAAAAACCACGAAAAAATGTCCCAAGTCAACCTATTCGAAATTTAAATTGTAATGTCATCGCAGTATCGCGCTGTCAGTCGAACAAATGAAGACTAAAGCGGAGTTTGGCGCTCTGTATACGATTTTAGCGCCTTACAAGTGCGGACACTTTTTAGCGCGGACCCGACGTCCATATAATTGTAAGTCAATGGCATAGAATGATAGTTTCATATTAAACGAACTGTCACAAGTGACGCAAAAATCAAATTCATGTAGGCTAGTTTTAGTAGTAGGTTAATTTTCGGTTTTAGTGAATATTTATATAAAAATACAAGTTGAAACGCGTTACTTCCTTGTGGGATGTGATGTTAGTATCTATTTTATGTTTGTCTGACGTATTTTTACACTAATTTACCGCACAATTCGTCATTTTTAGCTAAAATTATTGATCTGTTCGCGGTGCAAGTTGACCTTGAGCACTGAAGGCCCGCCCGCTCGTGTAGGCCCTTTTGGCGCGTTTCAATTTGCCTCACTTAGCGTGTGCGGACTAGGTTTCTACGCGTTATTATTCTAAGGCAGAATCATTAATAATGTGAATAATTGACATTTCATATTATGAATTCTAACAAAACAAAAAACGCAATCTATTTGACAGATGAATTGCATTATATGAATTGTAAGTAATTCATAGTACTTCTGCCACGATTCTGCCAATACGGCTTTTTAGCCCTGGGATAGATTTTGGGGTGTGTAATCAAAGATATAACAACAAATAATCTATTTTCACTTTGTATAACGACATTTGATATAATTTCTTTTTTTATTTTTGTGATTATGATTTTATAATTTACTTAATTTTTTACATTTTCGTATTGCTTTCATATCATTGGTGCTAATTATTTCGTAATACTGTCAATTCATAATTCATTCGGTAATTCCCTTATTTCATATTATTTTTCGTATTATTTTATCATGGCGGATTTGCTTCCAGGCCCAGTAGGCCCGGGGCTAGGGGGGCGGCCAGATTTTAGGGGCGGCCAATCGTGACAAAAAATTCACCATGTATAGCGTGATATTTTTTTTATATCGGCTGAACTAAATAGAGCACGATATATAGTATACGATATACATTTTTCAAATGGATTTTTATTTTGTTTGGAAAAAAAAATCTGAAATAAAGCCTGTCCCCGCCACAAGGCCCAAGCAAAATGAATCGTATTAGTACGGGAAAACTTTTAATTCGAGCTAAAGTAGTATCCGACTTCTAAGGCTAAAACAACAAGTCGCACCTTTAGAATGAAAGCTACATAATTCAAAATAATTAAGTAGACCAATTTATACCGTGAAACGGCTATAACGATCATTGTTCATAAATATGGTTTTTAATCTGGAAGTGATACTTTAACACGTTCGTGGCTGACTAGAATATAATATAGACTATATATATATATACATATATATATATATATACTTAGAATAATAACGCATAGAAACCTAGTCCGCACACGCTAAATGAGGCAAATTGAAGCGCTCCCAAAGGGCCTACACGAGCGGGCGGGCCTTCAGTGCTCAAGGTCAACTTGCACCGCGAACAGCTCCAGAATATTAGCTAAAAATGACGAAATGTGCGGTAAATGAGTGTAAAAATACGTCGGACAACATAGAATAGATACTAACATCACATTCCACAAGGAAGTAACGCGTTTCAACTTGTATTTTTATATAAATATTCACTAAAACCGAAAATTAACCTACTACTAAAACTAGCCTACATGAATTTGATTTTTGCCTCACTTGTGACAGTTAGTTCGTTTGATATAAGTCGGAGCCGAGATCCTGGTACTTATTACTTTTTATTCTTTCCGCCAGCTCAGCTGCGGAGCCAGCCCTGCTGGTGTGCTGGAGATGGGATCGGGCAAGTGTGTCGGCACATGTGGTGGCCCATACTCCAAGGGATGAGAGTCATTCCGTCATTAAATAATTCGTTTTTCAAATTGTAATTTTACCCTATTTTCATTGTATTTTATATGATCGGATAAAAGTACCTATGTACATCCTATCGTGTAACAATTTAGCACATTATTTAAACAATATCCTCACGTGTATTGTATATGTTTTGTAAGGCCGTTATTTTATTACCTAAACCCTTGGTCTTGCAAAACAGTTTTTCCCGCTTCTACCCCTGTGACTCGCCTTATGCGTGAAACACACAGGGAGCAGATGTGGGTCGGGCGCGCTGGTCAATAAAAAATTTCTTTTCTGCGAGTTGCGGGAGCATTCTCGAGAATTTAACTTTAAGAAATTATAATTGACAAAAAAATATTTTTAACCTTGTTCTTTCTTACAGCAATTCCACCCATCAAATGATGGAGCAGCGTTTCTCTTCGCTGATGAACTGAAGCAGACCCTCGAGAAGTACATGTTCGGCATCTGCCCGCAGACGTTCAAGGTGAGAGCACAACTTCTGACCTATTCGCATTCTTAATATATCAAAGAAGTATTTATAAAGATCGACATGCATCTGCGCGTACTGCACGCGCAATTCAGATGTCGTTTAACAGCGCTTTACTTGTATGTTTTTTTATTGAACATCATGATGTCTGACCACCATGAAAAATGTACTAACTCTATATTATTCTAAATTCCATTCTCTTCTTGTTGTGTTCTATGTACACAGTAGAATAATACTCTTTGCTGCTAAATGTAGTATGTCACTTTAAGTTTTAGTGTTTGTTATTTCTGTGGTAAACGTATATAGTGAGTGAGGTTCTATTTATATAATATTATAATGGAAAAGATACCAGTCTCTATACTACAGTGTCTCCAGCGGTGAATACTTGGCAGGTGAAGCCTGAAAACCAGGAAATTGCGGAGGCACTTACCTTTCTTCGACATAGATTAAGCAATGTTTTGTCTTAAATATTGTTGTAGTGTATATGTGAGTTGTGTTGTGGGCCTCATAAGAAGGGTCAAGGTCACTCAGCGGGCAATGGAGAGAGCGATGCTCGGTATTTCCCTATGTGATAGAATCAGAAATGAGGAAATCCGTAGGAGAACTAAGGTAACCGACATAGCTCGAAGAATTGCTCAGCTGAAGTTGCAGTGGGCGGGGCACACAGCTAGGAGAATCGATGGCCGTTGGGGCGACAAGGTTCTTCAATGGCGACCGCGCACCGGACGTCGCTCAGTGGGTAGGCCCCCCACCAGGAGAACCGACGATCTGGTAAAGGTTGCGAGAAGCCGATGGGTGCGGGCAGCGCAGGACCGATCGTCGTGGAGATCGTTGGGGGAGGCCTATGCCCAGCAGTGGGCGTCGTATGGCTGAATGGTGATGATGACTGTTGTATGTTTTGGGTTGAAGTATTGTATTTTTGTGAAAACTCCACTACTTAGTTTGTTGCAATTATTAATACAAATATCGAACACTTAGAAAAAAATATTTTGATTATACACATAATACACAGCGTTCGTACAGGGTCAAGAGCACGTCAAGCTTTGCATTTAAGACATAAATCCAACTCTATGCCGCTTACGATAAGAACGGTCCAAAGTACAAAGTGTCAAGGTTGATGTGCTCTTGACTGTACATTGGCTAAATTCAGAGAAATAGCAAAAATTGCATTTAGAAGTATAAATAATAAGTGACGTGGCTAGAAAGAATCCTCCGTAGCATTTTTTTTCTTCATTTATTAGTAGTACATTCACAAAAAATACATGTACATCATGTATGTTAGCCATATATTACAGTGGGTAATATCATAATAAAAAAAAATTGGGTGGCGTGCTATATAGCATGAAACGACTTTCTATATGAGGGGCCGTAGGGGGCGAGGACCGTGTCTTCATTGATAATTAAATCTATTGTGATTAGCTGTATTTTTTAGTCTCGTTGGACGCAGATGCAGTTGAGGAGTAAGAACACAAACATGACTGCACCTACGTGTGACCTGGATACTGAGCAACAGGAATTAGCTGGCAGGTGAGTGTGGGTTGACCATAAACACATAAATTGCCATGCCCTTACGGTGAGTCAGTTCGTACTATAGTTAGCGAAGTATTTATTCCAGCGTAAAAAATTAACAAGATATTTATTCTTCACCTCACTAGCTTGGTAAGTCTTTCTTTCTCATTAGAATTCTGCGCGCAAAAGCGTTTTTCAAATTCGAACTTGACGAAGCTCGCTGTGGTGCACCTAACTTTTTCTTTCGATGAAAACAAGATAATGACACGTTCAACTACGCGACTTGTTTTACTTATTTATTTATTATAAATCCGTTGGCATATTGTATTCCTATTATTGTTGACATTGAATTGACAATGATAACTAATTGTGTTTGTTAAATTGTTTTAATTTGTCGAAGAAATAAAATAATTTCAATAATCATTAATCACACAAAATAAAAGTACACAGTCAAGAGCACGTCAAGCTTGACACTTAAGACTTAAATCCTACTCTATGCCGCTTACGAAAAGATCTAAACGATGATCTGGATGTTGAAAGGGAGCGCAGGGCGTTGGCGGTTAGGAGTAATATGCTTGCCCGCAGGTTTGCTCGATGCTCCTACGAAGTTAAAATAACGCTTTTTAAAGCTTATAGTCAATCTTTTTACTCGAGCAGCTTGTGGGTTAGGTACACAAAACGAGCTTTTAACGCCCTGCGCGTGCAGTATAATAATGCATTTAGAATGATGATGGGACTGCCAACGTGGTGTAGTGCATCGGGTATGTTGGCGGTGGTTCACACGGACAGCTTCCAGGCCATCATGCGCAAAAAGATTGGCTCGCTGATGAGTCGCGTGAGGCTCAGTATTAACAGCATTCTAAATGATATAGCGGGAAGGTATGATTGTCCTATCTTGGAACATTAGATAGTGCAAATTAAGGGCGTAGCCCAGTTCGCAATACAATAAGTTGCAATGATTATTACTAACCGTGATATAAGTTATTTTACTAACATACTATGGATATTTTATGGTCCGAAATAAAGAATTATTGTTAGTATTATTATTATAAGAACGGTCCAAAGTGCAAAGTGTCAAGCTTGACGTACTCTTGACATACAAGCAAGAATAAAAATTTATGAGGTGTAAATTCAGAACGCATCCGAAGGTGAACTTTTTCTTTTAATTAAAAAAACTGATGTTTTATAGTTCAACTGTTTTTCGATTCGCTCTGGACCTTTTGGAGGGAAAAGTGTCGTTTTTATTTTGACTTTTAATTATTTTGTGAAATCTAGTTTAAAGTGGAATAGGATAGTGCTATTGTGCCTTAATCGAAGATTAAAACGCGAAATTATACGAATCTCGAACTAAAATACCCATATCGGCCCGTTTTAAGGAATCCCGAGTCTTTTTCTTGTCTCTTTGTGGCGGCCATATTTACAGAAACATAATTTAACTTCATGTCCAAAAAAAGAATAATGTACCAAGACTTGGCTGTATGGTGTAAAACCTTTGCCTTTTCCTTTATGGAAAGAAGAAAAAAAAATCAACCGTTTTTCTTTCATCTATCATTTTCCTCGAGGTGAAAATTTGTGTGTTTCGCTCGGCAGGAAAGTTGTTTTGCGTCTCGTTCAATGAAAACTTCGCTACGCTCAGTAAACTATTTTTGCTTCCTTCGCTTGCTCAAGTTTCAATACAAGCACTCGCGCGCCAAACAACAACTTTGCAGCCTTGCATAACAAACAACTATTCTTTAATAATTATCCATGCTGATTCATAGTATTGCCTCTTTAATTTTTGACTAAAAATGGCAAACAATAAGAAAATCAAATAAATACGCAGAAAAATGTTAGTGAAAATTTGGGGAAAATCCATTGACTTATAATTATATGGACGTCGGGTCCGCACTAAAAAGTGTCCGAACTTATAGGGCGTTAAAATCGTATACAGAGCGTCATTCACGCTTTAGTCTTCGTTTGTTCGACTGACAGCGAAGCAAGCAAAATTGGACAGTACTGCGATGACATTACAATTTAAATTCATCGTTTTAGCTTTTTCATATTCCTTTACATGTCACTACGTTTAAATAGGTCGACTTGGGACATTTTTTCGTGGTTTTTGTATTAGACCCGTCGTCCATTTATTTGTAAGTCAATGGGAAAATCAAATAGATATTGTTGGGGAAAACGCATGGAAAACGATATTGTTTTGTAATCTGAGGGGAAGACGGTTTGGTTTGTGACTTTTGAGATTGACATTTGACACGTTTGGATACGTCTCTAATACAGATATAGCACGATATTGTTAGCAGGAGCATTTTGTTGTTCCCGTTAATTAATTATCAACATTGACTTACAAATAAATGGACGACGGGTCTAATACAAAAACCACGAAAAAAATGTCCCAAGTCAACCTATTCGAAATTTAAATTGTTATGTCATCGCAGTATCGCGCTGTCAGTAGAACAAATGAAGACTAAAGCGGAGTTTGGCGCTCTGTATACGATTTTAGCGCCTTACAAGTGCGGACACTTTTTAGCGCGGACCCGACGTCCATATAATTGTAAGTCAATGATTATCAATGATAATTGTAACTTCGATCTTTACAACTTTTAATAATTATGCAATAAATAAATAAAGGACTTAAGCGTCATAATAAAACGTAAGTTTAAAGATCATACGGTAACAAGGAGCAGATGATATCAACCAAATAATCACTGCTCATTTTAAGAACTGAGAAGGTGAGTGCTTTATTCACGATAGAGTTTCGCTGGAAATTTCGAAATATATTTCAAGAAGCCGCTTTTATTTTCCACGAAGTCTGAGGAGATAGTGGAGTACATCAGGCTTAAAGAAAAATACACCCTGAGAGTCGAACGGTTGGAGTCCCGCCGCAACGCAAATTTTAATTCGTTTATGGTTAGAGTGGCGACCGAACATCTGTCGGCCTTCATGAAAGAAGAGTTTTGGACAAACGGTGTCATGCATCGGCGATTCCTGACAACAGCAGCTTGATTTTGATTGCCTCTCCCGATCGGAAACTGCGTCTCTTCCGAGTCGAGGCGCATAATTGAGATTCACAACTAGCCGATCGGAAGCTTTTGACGTTTCAAATCGAAACAATAGTTGATTTAATTCAGAATCTATATAATAGTAGAAAACAGGTTCATCTTCTCGCTCGGAAACCCATCTGATTTCGAGACTACCCGAGTGCAATACTTGTAGATTAGTTATTTAAATTATTTCATTGTTATAATATATTGTACGCATGTTATTCCTTAAGGTATCCATATGGCCTGAAATAAATGAAATAAAATAAATATTTCGAGAGTAAACACTGGAAAAGTGACTATTTCAAGTGTTCAAGTTTCAAATTGTAAATAAAGGTCAATGACCACCCGCAGGTTTGCAACACTTGCGCTCCGTGCACACTCGGCGGCCCGCGCGGACTGCACGCGGTTGGGCGCGGCACTTGCCAACACGCTAGGGGAGCTTGCGCGCACCGCGGCAAATAGAAGATCTGTTAGTAACGGTAAGCTGCTATAATATATTTAAAACTAATGAAAGATTTCGGTTTGATGTGTAATTATAGCTTTCACCTCTCCTACCCGAACTAGTGGCATAGTGTGGGGGTGCACAGGGAGACATGACCCAGGGCCGCACAGCACTGATGCTTCTGGTACACCTATAGTTGTCAATCAGAACTTTTAATAAACAGTCTTGTGATTGTATCGAACGATGGCATGCACTATGATGCTTGCCAATTGAAGGATTTACCAATCGGCATAAGGTACTATTGTACGTCGATAATTGCCCAGGGTGTGGTAGACGTACAGGAAAAGAACAGCACATATTGCAGGGAGGCTCCTTGAATAAACATGAAATAGCGACATCTAGTGCCACCTTACCTATCTCTGCCGCCAAGCAGTAATGTCAGCATTATAAACTGCCTCCGTGGCCGAACGGTTACCATACCGGACTGCCACGCAGAGGTCCCCGGGTTCGATTCCCGGGCCGGGAGAAATATTTGTATGGCCTACATTTATTTCTCTCGTGAGTTTGGGTGTAATTTGTGGTTGTCTATGTGTGTGTCCATGGCACCCGCGACACAGGGTTTCCCTAGTGCGGGGCTATGTTGAGTGTGTGCGTTATTTAGTGTGTGCGTTATTACTGTGTTCCGGTTTTGAAAGGTAAGGTGAAATTACAGGCACAGGGTACTTGTCAACTTATGTCTCAGGGTTACGGGCGCAGTGGCAGTGCCCCTCATATTTAAAGCTCTGAGTGGCACTGCAGCTGCTCAGCAGAGCTGGAAGCTATAAATTTACTTAACTGGGTGAAGAAATACTTTAATAGATGGCGCAATGGCTAAAAAGTCGTTGAAAACCAAATACGCAGATCCGACAACAAGCACATAGAAGAATTTGTAAGATCCGCTGGTTTGCTAGAAGACCTCGGTTCGAATCCGGCCGGATCAAAGGATTTTTTTCTAAGATTTCGATCTTTATATTAATAATTTGTAACATACGTATTAACCAAAGCAAGAGCGAAGATCATAAATCACAACACTAGCCCAACAAAGCACACAATTAAGTGATACCTCAATATTTTCACCAATTTGTTGTTTCCAGCAACCGCAAACGACGCCAACAAGAAACGCAAGCTATCGAAAAGCCAAAAGGCGAAGATACAGGCCAAACAGAAGACTGCTTTAGCTGTTAAGAAGAAGGCCGCAGCTTTGGCTGCTGCCGCTGCTGCTAAAGTTTCTGCTTCCTAAACCACCTGTCCAGCGCCGGGGCTAGTCGATATAGCGCCCTGGTGCAATAACCTGGCGCTCTCTATTAGGCACGCGATCAAAATTGGATACTAAGAGCGTTTGTAGACTACGTCCGATTCGTATCAGGCGTCTTTTTATTTGGTCAAGTATTGCTTATTTGGCAGCAATTGTTTTGGACGGTTGTCGGACGGACATCGAGATTAGACCCCCAGCTCCGGATCCGAGAAATGACCCTCCGAAATGTCACAAGGATCATTTATTGTACAAATTTTCCCCAGTGTTCTGCAATTCGGGTGCAAAGGTGCAAATATGATGTTGGGACGCAATAGACCGTAGATTTTGCTGGCTTTTTGGAGGCGTATCTTCTACAAGGCGACATTTCTTTAGCAAAACTGAAAAAGAATATGCAGCAAGCGACGTCGGGCGACTTTTACAAAATGCTATATTAGTACATTGTGTAGTTAAGGACGGTAAATAAGGAATAACGAACGGATGGCTTTGCGAGTAGAGGTTCGTAATTCCCGGACCTCAAGTCAAACATACAATGTTTTTCAACACACTTGCACGTAAATAGTATGCAGAGTAACTTGACTATAATGCCCCAAAGAAAACCCTCGGGCCTTTTTTATGAGAAGAAAAATGGCCAGATGTTCTATTTGGGGCTTTATAGTCAAGTTAGCTTGCATACATTCACACTATTTACAGCAATGGTCAGAGGTTTTTAGGCAAAAAAAGGCCAGAGGGTTTTATCTGGGGAATTAGTATCTTACTATTTACGTGCAAGTGTGATGAAAAATATAGAAAATATTCTTTATTAAATAAAGTATACACTTATAGTACTGCGCAGCGCCTCGCTGCACAGGGCATCTTGTCGTTGGCAGTTTGTGTCGCCACGGTCAATGCAAAGTGTAACTTAGCTTCTCAGCAATAAGGTATATTATTGTCGACAAGGGCAATTCGTGTAGATTAGTTAGACATAGTGTTTTATTATATTGTATGTATGTTAGTTCCATCGAGTATGTAACCAGAAATAGAGACGGAATAAGGGTCATATATTCCTGGTAGCACATTAGCGATACAGCTCTTATAAATATAAACTCTCGTTTGCACTGAAATATAGACAGGCTAACTACTGACCTGTGTGTACGTCGCCGTATATTAAAAAAAATATTCAGTATTTATTGTAATAAAGATAATATCTCTAACAATGCCGTGCTGTTCTATTCGGTGGTGTGGGAAAGACAGCAAAACATCTAATTACAACACAAACGGAATCACATTTCATCGGTAATTAAATATTAAAGATGTAATTTTGCAATTTTCGTCCATTATAGCAAAGCTCAAGTTAACAGGTCGATTTAAAGTATAACAATTGACGACATCCGTCAATTGTTTCGAACTCGGGCTAGCCAATCGGAGCGCAGTTGTCATGATAATGATATGACAGAATAGTTTTCAAACAAATTAAATGACATTTCGCCTATATTTCTGGTTATATACTCGATGGTTAGTTCTTAAGGTATATATGAGGCCATGAGAACCATAGTGGCCTAACTCATTTTTTACAATATTGAGTTTATGATTTTTTCCAGTTCAAATTGATCATTTTGATAGAACCAGAAAGGCCTAAAAGTGATACAACGAATTTTCACTAGATGGCAGCATAATCATTGTTATGGTTTTTAGTCTGTGATCTAAATTTGAGGTGCCATACTGGCCTAAGTAAGATAGGCCACTATGGCTTGTCCATTGAATTAGGCCACTATGGTTCTCATGGCCTCATATTATATGGGTCTCGTGGCCTGAAATAAATAAATAAAAAAATTAAAATATTTCTTTGCTTTCTCAGTCACGCAGCGCGACGTGCGGCTTAACTCGTTTGTTATTTTGCGTTCAACGAAATGTATACTTTTTTAAGTAGGGTATGGTTCTATTATTATATTCCACTATATAAAGCGTGCAACAACAACAACTTTAACACGCCATTCGTTCCATCGCGCCACCGCTAGATGGCATTAGTTGTACCCTGAAACGACTATCGTTTTGTTAACTTCATTAGTATAAGTCAACTCATATGTTTTGTATTACCAATGGAATGAAATTCAATGAATGAATGCTCTCTACTGCTGCAGCATTCGTATGGCACTAAAAGGCTTTCAAGTCTCAAGTTATTGAGACATTTCGGTCCCAAGTGGCAGATAAAGTATGCATCGTAACGCCGTGTTGCTTTGCCTATATGAGGCGACGAACATGGGTTTCCTATTGTATTGAGTAAATGTACATACTTAATTGCAAATTGCAAGAATTGTTTTTTGCAAAACTAATCCGTAATTCATGTACTAATTTTATTATAAAACTAGATGTTATAATAGGTACGTTGGGTAGTTTTAAATCTACACGCTCGACGGCTGTGGTAAGTTTAAAGCGTGAGACACGCGGAGAGCGGGCGTGAGTCGGGTCGGGCGCGGGTTGGATCGAGTGCGCGGCGGGTCTAAGTCTGTGTATTTTTGTCCATATAATACACGGAATTAGACCCGACCCGACCCGCACCCGCTCTCCGTGTGTTTAATAACTTAGCTTATATTTCTTTTTTTGTTGTGTCGATGATACTCACTATATTCTTGCGGCACTGGACTTCTAGTTGTCATCTAAGTAGTTGATTTGTTTGTTATCACTATAAATTAGAGATGGTTTGATAAATTTTGTCCATCAAGTACATAACCATAAATAGAGACGAAATGTCATTTAATTTGTTTGAAAACTATTCTGCCATATCATTACTGTGACAACTGCGCTCCGATTGGCTAGCCCGAGTTCGAAACAATTGACGAGTGTCGTCAATGGGTGTCGTCAACTGTTTCACTTTAAATCGACCAGTTTAACTTGAGCTTTGCTATAATGGACGAAAATTGCAAAATTACGTATTTAATTACCGATGAAATGTGATTCCGTTTGTTTTGTAATTACATCTAATTTTGCTGTTTTTCCCACACCACCGAATAGAACAGCACGGCATTGTTAGAGATGTTATCTTTATTACAATAAATACAGAATATTTTTTGGAATATACGGAGACGTACACGCAGGTCAGTAGTTGAGGCCAATCTATATTTCAGTGCAAACGAGAATTGATATTTATAAGAGCTGTATCGCTTATGTGTTACCAGGAATATATGGCCCTTATTTCGTCTTTATTTCTGGTCATATACTCGATGATTTTGTCAATGTAAAGAATTATGGAAAGAAAAACATAATGTCCGAAGGAGCTCAGATATACAACAAATGACCAAAAGATATAAAATTAAAAAAGAAATTCAAAACTCAAAATAATCTTTATTTCATAGGTAAGCATTATTACACTTGAAATCGTCACAATGGTGAAATTCTACCGCTCATTCGTAAGGCAGATTCCCCTGAGAAGAATGAGCAAGAAACTCTAGGGTTGCTCTTTGTAAATAACATTTACAATATTTATTTTTTTATTTGAAACATCAGAGATCGAGACTACCTCCATGAGCTAAACGGGTTACTACCACAGATTTTTGTCATCCAAGTACGCAGAAGTTGTATTTAGTATAAAGTTTTTGTTTCACTATAGTTTTAAACCTCGTGAAAGGCAAATTTTGTATATCAACCGGAATCTTGTTATAGAAGCGTATACATTGCCCCTTAAATGATTTTCTGACTTTGTGAGGACGACTATCAAGAACAGCTAGTTTATTTTTATTCCTCGTATTAATGTTATGTCTGTCACTATTTTTCATAAAGAAATTATTATTCCTTTTAACATAAATTACATTTTCATAAATGTACTGTGAGGCTAGAGAAAGAATGTTAATTTCCTTAAACTTATCTCTCAAAGATACTTTGGGGCCCAGATTGTAAATTGCCCTAACCGCACGTTTCTGCAGAGCAAAGATTCTATTGATATCGGCGGCATTACCCCAAAGCAAAATGCCGTATGTCATTAGACTGTGAAAGTAGCTGAAGTAAACCAATCTAGCGGTTTCGACGTCTGAAAGTTTCCTTATTTTTTTAATCGCGTACACTGCAGAGCCGAGCCGTTTTGATAACTTACTTATATGGGGACCCCATTGCAATTTAGCATCTAACGTTATACCTAGAAATACAACTGTATCCACAAGATTCAATTTTTCGTTTCTAACTACAATGTTTGTAACCGTCTCTCTAACATTGGGTAACGTAAATTTCACACAATTTGTTTTTTTCTCATTAAGGAGTAGGTTATTAACAGGAAACCAATCAACTATTTTAGATATAGCATTGTTCACATCGTCGTAGGAACAATGGTGCCTTTTAACTTTAAATAATAAGGATGTATCATCAGCAAACAATACTATCTCATGTTTTATACCCTCCACGTGGCTAGGTAAGTCATTAATATAAACTAAAAACAAAAGTAGGCCTAGTATTGAACCTTGAGGGACACCCATGCTGATGATCACACCCTGATGATCTCGTACCGTTAACATCGACCCTCCGTACCCTACCACGCAAATACGATTTAAGAAGATCGAGATCACGGCCCGACACACCATAATGGCGAAGTTTCCTGAGCAGTGGTATCATGGTGCACACAATCAAAAGCCTTGGAAAGGTCACACAATACACCAATAGCACCATGTGAGACTTCCCATGCATCAAATATATGATTCGTCAACTCGACACCAGTATCGGTTGTAGAGCGACCCCGAGTGAAACCAAATTGTTTAGGAGACATTAAGTTATTACTATAGAAATGTTCACACATCTGATTTAGAATATTTTTTTCAAATATTTTACTGAGAGTTGGTAGTATTGATATAGGTCTGAAATTGATGGGGTCTGAAATATTACCAGATTCGAAAAGTGGAATAACTTTACTTTGCTTCATGAGGTCAGGAAAGACACCATCATCAACACATTTATTAAAGATACAGGCTAAGTAAGGCGCAATATAAATCAACTATAGAACTAATTACTCTGACTGAAAGACCATCAAGATCAGCAGTATTTTTCATGTTTATAGACTTAAAGGCTTTAACAATGTCGTTTGGAAATACATGACCGAACCTTAAACTACTGATACTAACTGCATTATTTTCTTTTAGTAAGGATTCAGCGGCGGTGGGAGATGAATTTAACGACTTAATAGTCAAAATTGGAATGTCAGTAAAAAAAATTTCAAATACTTTAGCAACTTCTGCGTCTGTGTTTACAATTTTGTCATTAAATCTTAGTTGAAAATCTAAGTTACGAGGTTTGACCTTTCCAGTTTCGCTTTTCCAAGTCGTTTTTACTACATTCGCGCTGCTTTTAATTTTATTATTTATAAACATTGCTTTGCTGCAACACAAACACGTTTAAACATTTTCGAATACTTCCTAACAAAATCCTTAAAACTGTTACTAGTGTTATAAGTCCTTTCATCGTAAAGATTTTATAGCCTTTGTGTACTTTTGTAAATTCCCACAGTCGCCCAATCACTAAATTTCAAT